CTGATGTGGAAACTAAGAGGCTCAGCCGATTTTGGAGGTGCTCAGATATGGAGTAGACTTTGACAGAATCCGAGCATAAAATTCATGGAGTAGACTGTGAGCGAAGGATATGGAGTAGACTTTGAGCGAATCCAGCGCCTCTCTCTGCAGCAGTCTTGCTTGGTTCTTATCCGAAGGCCCTTCACTCACTGATGACAAGCTCGATAGACCGTCTGCTGATTCCACTTTCTTACTCTCAAGGAAATTTAGATAGTTTGCCGGTTCTCCGATCGCTTTGTTTGAGAGCAGCAGCTGTCGACGCAATCCTTCTTTTAGAGATTTGACAGAGGTGCCTTGAATACCAAGCGAGGCTGGTGAGCTCCTTAAGAAGAAGAAGAAGAAGAAGAAGACGGCTAACTGACGTGAGAGCTCGAGCAGCTCAGGTGTCATACTGACATTGGTCGGAAAATATCATGATTGCTTCGGCAGCTGGTCCAAACCCCGACAACTTTACCATTCAAGCTGTCATTCGCTGTGCTGTACCTCCTGGCGAGAAGAAAACTTGCGGAGGTTGAGCCTCAGGGTTCCTAATACGGATGTCTGGATTCTGGGAAATTCAGTCCATTCACGTCTGTACATGGCGTGAATTTGAAATACAGGTGCACGTGGTCGGTTCAGAGAGCTTTCAAATCCCCCATTTTGGACATGATATAACCAGGCACTCGGAATTTTGTTAAGTATCCAAGCCACTAGAAACAAGTTCATCGCAGAAACGTAAGATATGGATTGCTTGGACGGTACGTCAGACTTCGGACATGGCAGCTTCTATCACGGCTTCTCTGTTATCATTTGAAACCAGATCTGCGGGCAAATGGATGAAAATGGTTCTTGTCCAGCATCACATGTCTCTTGCGCTGGGCACTTTGGCTTTGTTTCAGCAGCTTGAGAAATAACATGTAATCCTCCCGATTTCGCCCAACTCGTTTCTGACGATGAATGCATGTGAGAGCTCGTGGTGTCCAGGACTAGCAGCCAAAACAGATGGAGTACTCTCGAGGTGGGGTGAGGCTAGCGGCGCAGTGCGGAGAGAGATGTGCACCATACACAACCTTGTTGCGTTGTAAATGGCTCAGTAAGTTAAAATACCTGATGTCAAGTACTGACGGCTGCTGATCGAAGAGTTACTTTTGCTGATAAGCAAAACTAACATTGGCGTTAATGGACACAGCTCACATCCCATAGACTATGACACTTTCCTGCCCTCCAGACCTTATTGCAAGAACCCTGGTCTTCGTAAGCAGGCCGGGCGACCTTGCCTTCCGACTTCCCGATTTGGCATCCCATTCAGCCGAAACTTCTTGTGGCTCTGAGTGGCAAGTTGTCCACTGCAAGAACTTCACAATCCAAAATGCACAAGAAATGGCGCACGATGACATCACGCCGTTCTCTCAACTTGCTGTATAAGATTCGACGAGGACTCTGCAAAGTATGACAGGTAGGAATGGAAGACATTCTGTTGGGTTTGACCTTCAGAGACTTGGGTTCCTTGCCCAGGTCTCTGGAAAGTGCATGTGGAAAATTGCACGGCAGGTCTACTGAACGTCCAGCAGCAGCCTATATTGAATCGGCCGTCAACCCCACGTGAGCAATTGGGGTCGCAGAATGCAAGGCTGAGGATTCAATCCTTCAGAGTTGCAACGAATGTTTCAGAGTCGTTTAGCTGCATGGGAGGCTCCACGCTTCTCTGAAAGCTCCAGCCGATACATGCACACAAGGCACAGAATTCATCCTTCTCATCATACTAGATGAAATTGGAGACTGGAGATCGTGACCTGGAGAGCCACGCTGACTTTGTAACCCTTATTACTTCGTGACAACCTTCAAGTCTATGAGCCAATTGGGCATGGTCTGTCAAGGTATGGCGAGTTGTAGACCTAACGTAGATCCTGAGATTTCGTGCCCGACACATCACAGTTCTTGGCGTGTATCTCAGATCAACATGGCAGGGTGATATCCTCCACTAGGGGACGACTATCAAGTCTTACTGCATGCCGTTGCTGTCGAATATCATCCTCCTGTACTCAAGCCCAGTGTCTATCTCGCAGCTCTATCTCCTGCTCTTCAACCATCTGGAGAAGTCTTATGGTACATACCGTTCTCCAGGAACTTCAGCCAAGCGCAGTTCCTGATCGTTTAAGTGCCAATCAGTACAGGACTAGCTGGAGGTCAAATCATTGTGTGAAGAAAAACGGCGCAATGTTCAGAGCAATCCACGAGCGCATGAGTCTTCCTGAGAAACGTCTCATATCAATGTCAGGTCAGGCCTGGACAATTTGTCAGCTGTCCAGCCTCGGACATGCTGTTCACTCTCAATTCGTCGTATTGGAAGGGAGTTGACGTCAGCGCAGTGATCTTTATGGTATACTTTACATTCAGTGCCGACTCATTGGCAACAATTACACTCCTCGACGTTTCAAGAGCCAGACGCAACAGGCGTAAGAATATAAGTTTGTTACACACCTTCCGACATACTAAGCTTCAAATCAAATTCATGCAGCTTAGGATCAGCATACGAACGTTAAAGCTCAATTAAGGCACATGTCATGGCTTAATTACAGGCACATGTCATGCAGACCAAAAGGGCCTTTGAAGTTGACTTGGCAATGATCAAAAAAGGATGTGCATTAAATTCAATCGTACACGAGAAGAAAATTCATCATAGCGTCAATCAGTTTGAACTACGCATACGTCAAATGATTGAGTTTCCCAAAGCTCAGGTTAGAGGATCTGCTTCACCATGTCGACTGAACTCTTAAGAAAATATTCTGATCGTATGAAGTTCTGGTTAAAGACTGCTGAAGCTTTCCGGTCTGAAGACATGCGTTCTCTATACTCAATGACATACAGTCTCCAACAACAGCGAGACAAGTGGATACTGGCCCCACTTTGAATGAAAAGAAATTTCTCTAGATGGAGACCAAGTCTTTTACAGAATAAACGGGACCTTCTTGGTCAGACCGGATTTGACCACCAAAGAGCTTGGGTTGAGTCTTTCCTGAGCAAGCGTCCGGAGACATGCGTGTCACGAAAAATGAGACAAAACTTTCACTGAGTTGGAGAACTTGGAAGACTCACATATCTAGCGATTTCAGTACAGGCACTATATTTCAGATTATAGGGCCACTATTCCCCGACTAGCATGCTTCCAAGATGTTTCAATCTGAGGACCTTAAAATGACCTTAAAAGTCGTCGACACGTTTTTTAATGGGGCGCAGTAATGCGGCTGATTGTCAGCACTTCATATACGCGTATAGTCAGCAGGGAAGATTCTCCGGACACATTCCGATGATTTCACTTTGAAGAATTTCATCCCAGCCAGAAGCTTAGATTTTGTCCGAGCAGTTCACATACGAAGGACCTGTGGGATAAAAGTAGTAGCAGCTGCTCACGAATTAAGCTTTGACTTCTTCGTTCGCTGATAAGTCTGAAACGTTCTATCCTCAATATTACACGAGGCACACAACATTAGAGATGGCAGTCGCCTGTTGCCGTTCTGGTTCTGGAAGTCCAGTCATTGCGGGATGTCTACCAGATTCTTTATTCTCCATACCGGATTCGCGCGAATTCGCACCGTCAAGAGGCAGCTGTGGTCCACTTTGTGTTGGCTTATGAATGGATCAACTTAGTTCAGGAGTTATAATGTGGACTTGATTATTCAGATTGAACTGATTCAGCTTTAAGAGAACGAGTCAACTTCAACTGCAAATGCAGTCAGGCAGTTCTTGTATGTACATTCATGGGACTATTAGATGTAAGAACATCATTCCAAGAAATGGGTGGAGGGAGCAGATATGGTTCATGGAATCAGTGGAATGTAATGAAGTAAGATCAGGGGACCCAAAAGGTCATTTGTCCAAAAAATATAGGGACTTTGGCCGTGAAGGCGAGCTCCATGATGAGATAATGATGAGATTGCTTGTCTCTTGATGTGCCCTCACCCAAAGGCGGGTGCAAAGGCAGCATAGTTCAATCTGAATTTTAGACTATTCACGCACGAATAACGTAAAAAGTTTCTCAATTGAAAGTCACACAATTTTACTACGTCACCTCTCAAAGAATTGAGCTGGACTAAAATGTCGCTGCCACCTGATTCCCGATTTTTTGCATGAGTTTTCAGAATTTGCAAACCGATAACGCATTCACATGCTTTCTGTCGTACATGGAGACACATAATTACGTCACACAAGAAGCAGGGACCTTGGCCGGAACGCAGTAAAACCAGATAAAAAGTACTTTGTCAAGAGATCTGATGATAAAGTTATCGAAATAATCTCTCTACACTAATCACGGACTCGTCGACTGGAGTATTTCCAGTTCACTTCAAAGACCCACATGAGACTACTGTAAGATGGCAATCTCATAATCTAGTCCGACAAGGGCACATTTATCTAATAATTGGAAAAGAACATATATGGTCCAAACTTTGGTATACAGGCCTAGCTCAGACGCTTCAAGTTAGGCAGGCGTGTCCATGCAAGCAATATCTACCACCGCTGAGTACTGCAGAAGCCAGACTCCACGAAGAGTCCCACTTCTGGGTTCGGATTTCCGAGGCATGGAAGCCCAGATCCAGAGACAATTGATGAGACAATCCAGAGACTTTACTATTTCTCTCAAAACGTATTAGAGATAAGTATCGTTATGTGCGAGGGTCATAGTAGACTCCGCAAGGTAGAATCCACCGTTGGTCAGTCTGTTCGGATTCCTCCTTTCTAGCACCCTTTCATGATCCTGTTTCGACTTTGTAAGAATTATTCTCTCAAGGCGAGCAAGCACCGGTGGTCCACGCTGCGGTCTGTGTCATGAAAAGTGGAAAAAAGTAAATTCTGTCAGCTGTTTCTGCAGAACGATCCCGGTTGCTTCGAGGGTTAGAGTAGGAGCGTTCTCGCACGATCTAGAGAACATGAGAGTGAGCCTTTATAAGGACATTCGATGAGCTTCTACCTCACTCAGAGTTGTACACCCTGGAGTACGATTCACATAGACATTGTGAAATCCACGTGGTCAATTCAATTCCAGTTCGACGTGCAGTTCCAAAATCATCACCGTCATGGGGACGAATCCGAGACGAACCGAGGCTCCAGCTCTCAGATTTAGCCATGCTTCTCATCTGAAGCTTGCCTGTCTTCTCGGGGTGTTGTACTCACTATCAGTGATTCAGGCTCAGGATGTTCACTCCCGGTGCGGAAACTTGACTCCGTCACCTACTCTGACACCATTCGTGCAGCCACTGCCTATACCTGTGGAAATCGACATCTCCACAGGGTCTCAGCTGACTTTGGGTGCTTACAAGATTTCCCAGGTACGGATTCTCAGAGTTTTAGCGTGCACTGCTTTATGCCAGAAACCCCGGGTACAAAACACTCAGCTGAAGTACAACAGTGGAAGGTCCATGCAGCTGAATGGTTCACTTGTACCGGAGGGGATTCCGATAGAGCCAGTTTTATGTTTGTCAAGTACAGTGAGGCATGCGTTCTCTCTCATCAGAGGATGCATAATCGGAGCTGATTTCCAGATGGGGACATGTTATCAGATGAATACTTTCTGCACGACTGCATGCTTGCAAAAGTCGTACAATTCTTGCAAATGAGCGCTGTTACGAAATTCTTAGACTGGCCAATAGTAGTCTGAGATTGCAGCAGAATTCTCGAGAATCCGAGAATTGAATACCAGTCACGGGTTGCGTGGATTGAGTTTCGTAAATTGATCCGAACAGAATTTAACCCGCGGCTGCTGTGTGCAATTACAGAGCGTCCATCCAGACCTTCCGAACACGACATTCTACGGATACGGGACGAGTCAAGACACAGCCACATCTCCGGGCCCGACTCTGAACGCCAGGAGGAATGTGGCCTCGTTCATTCGGTTCGAGAATCACATCACCGACGCGGAGCACATTCTGACCGTGGACAAGACGCTGCACAGAGCGACGCCAGCGAACGGAGGCGTGCCGATGAGCGTGCACCTGCACGGCGCCGACGCCGAGGGCAAGTTCGACGGGCACCCGGAGGCCTGGTTCACGGCGGCCGGCGACAAGGGCCCGACCTTCATCGCCACGAACAACACGTACCCGAACGAGCAGCCGGCGAGCCTTCTCTGGTACCACGACCACACTCTGGGCTACACTCGGCTCAACGTGGTATCCGGGCTGGCCGGGCTGTACTTCATCCGCGGGGGATCCGGCGAGCCCGGTTCTCTGCCCGAAGGACGGTACGAGATCCCGCTGGTCATCCAGGACAAGCAGTTCTACCCCAACGGGTCCATCAACTTCCCGGACCTCGGGTCGCCGCTGTCGCCCGCGCACCCGCAGTGGTGCCCGGATTATTTCGGCGACACGATTCTGGTGAACGGCAAAGCCTGGCCCTTCCTCGACGTGGTCGGGGCCGTGTACCGCTTCCGCATTCTGAACGCGGCCAACGCTCGAGCCTTCACTCTCTCGTTCAGCGACAGCCGCCTCCAGTTCGTGCAGATCGGCACGGACGGCGGCTACATGTGGGCTCCCCAGCTGCTGCAGAATCTGACCATGGCTCCTGCTTACAGAGTCGACGTCCTCGTGGACTTCTCAAGCGTTCCCGTCGGGACGACGGTGTATCTGAACAATACTGCTCCGGCCCCGTTTCCTGATGGGGACCCGATCAATAGTCCTCCCAGCACCAGGCACGTCATGAAATTCAATGTCGTTCAGTCCATACCCGGGTTGCCTGCGCAGAGTGTGGTCATTCCTACTTCCATCGGGTCCGCCCCCAGCACCGCCGCCTGGATAGACTCGGCGGTGTACAGAAATGTGACCTTGGATGTGGTTCTGCCGCCGGACCTGACGTTTCTGCTGAATAAGAATCACTGGGATGATCCTGTCACCGAGACGCCGAAGCTTTACACGACCGAGATTTGGGATATCATTCACCTCATTCCGGGCGGCATTCATCCGATCCACATTCATCTCATCAACTTCCTCGTGCTGCATCAGCAGGCGTTCGATCTGACTCGGTTTAACGGTGGCCTGTGTTCGCTCCTGCTGTCATATCCGGAGTCCCTCAGCTGCTACACTGAGGCCCCGCAGCCTCCGGACGCCACTCAAGTCGGCTGGAAGGACACCGTGGTCGTCTACCCGGGCACGAGACTCAGAATTCTGATGAATTTCGCGCCCAGAGACTGGCCGCAATTACACGTTCGATCCCACCACGTTCCCCGGTTACGTATGGCACTGTCACAACCTGGACCACGAGGACCATGACATGATGAGGCCGCTCCGAATTCTGCCTGCAGCATCTTGAGTCCACCTTCCGCCTCCAGCATCTAGAAATCGGACCACTTTAGACGTCCATTCTCTCGACATCTGCACATAGCTCACAACCATGTTCTGCACCGTCGACAAGTTTGATGGCCTCTAGCTTCAGCCGAATCCGGAGGAAGAATCGAAATGGATGAGAGCCAGGCGCCAAAAGCACGTAAGAACGCGCTACATTTCACTTTCCTGATCATGCAAATCGTCTTACCGGGCAATAATCGTGGACAATCTAGTAATCGTGTGCAGAGTTCGAGGTCAAGTCGAACGCCTGAAGAGTCAGTACTTCACATGAATCGTTGAAGAGGATGGCTTGAGACTCGAAGGTTATTGAGTTGATCGAAGAGAATGACAGTTTCAGGTGCACAACTGGGACAAGTGTGGAGGAGAGAATGAAAAAAATGAGTAAAGTGTACCAGCGGCTCAAACAGTAATTGAACGGTAACGGTAATTGAAGTTAATTATTAGAGATAGAGTTGGTTCAAATCGGTCTATATGCCTGATTTGAACCAACTCTAATTAGAGTTGGTTCAAATCAGGCATATAGACCGCGGGAATTTTATTACTTGTAAAACGTGGGAATAATTTTAAAATGGCATAACGGATTCGGTTATGACATTTCAAACTATTCCCGGGTTTTCACTTACACCAACTCCAAATTGATAGTATAAAATCACACGCAGGTTCATCATTCGTTTCCATTCTCGCACTGGTCGATGTGACGGGAGATCAGATCAGAATTCGCGCAAGGAGAGAGAGAAGTCGTCCTTCTGGTTGTCTTCATTGTTCGTTCACACTCCCACACCGGTCGATGCGAGCCTGAAACACTAACCTTTGGCGAAGAGGTTAGTGTTTAGGCTGACGAGCTTCAAACGAGAGAAGGAAGAGGCCGCATTGAGGAAGGAGCGCGAGGAGGAAGCGACTTGATTCTTCCTACCTTCCCGACCCTTCTAATCAGACGTATTGGGGAAGGGTTAGGAGCATAAGAAACACTTTCAACACCACGAACCTCATCCTGCCGCTGAAGTCATTCATGTGCCCTCTGACGAAGGAGCTAGTTGTGGATCCGGTCATTCTAGTAACAGCGAGCGGGCATCGATAACAGCGTGGTTCGCAGAAGGAAACACGACCGATATGACACTGAGACATATCGCTCAGTTGCTCCTGAGTGACTGAGCGATATGACACTGAGGCCAAAAATTCCGGTCAGGCAGTCGATCGAGGAATGGCAGGGGCGCAATTACTGGATAGGTTTTCTCAGAGCGAAGTCCATGTTCCAGTCCGAGAGCGAAGGTGAACAAAAAGCTAAGCTCGATGATTTCATCGAGTTGTGCCCGAAGAACAGATTGGATCGTCCAAGAATGCCTCCTGGTCTATATCGTGAAAGCCATGCTCGGTCGCTCCTACTCTCAAAAAGGGTGGGAGCTAAGCTCAGAGAGGGGGAGAGGGGCCATGAAAGCCCCTCTCACCCGTTCTCCTTTGCCCCATGAGAGGGGCAAGGGAGAACGTCTCTAAGCCCCCTTCCTCCGGAAGGGGGGTTAGAGACGGTTCGGGGGAAGGGACGACCCCTGTCCCCTGTCCCCTCGCGCGAAAAATGCCTGTCGCCAGCCTCTGTTCAGCAGAAATTCGTGCTCCGCCGTCTTCCCAATCTTCCAATAGCACCATCTCCGTGGCCGTCAGTGCCCTCTCCTCTCCCCCTTGCGTCTCGCGTTGGAAGGACATGATCCCCGATCCCTCTCCGCCTCCGCCCATTTCCGGTCACGAGATCAAAACCCCTCGCTCAGGAATCGTGTGAGATCTCGATGGCGTACGATTTCCCTTGTACTGCAGGTTCTGAGCACTGCCACCCGCCGGTGGAGCCCACGCTGGCCCCCTCTCCTCTCCGGTCGATTCGCGGGATATTCTCTCGCTCGCTCCGCCGTTCGGTCTTAATCTCTCGGTCGACGTTCGAGGCACATCTTTGTCGCTTCCGTTCCTTGTTCCGTTCATCCCCCATCACGATCTCACCCCACCTCGTAGGGTAGGAGGGTGCGACCTCGTACGGGACGCGATTCGCAGTGGATGACAACATTCGGTTCCGAGGCTCGGACGCGGCTCCGTCCCTTGGCTGGGACTCGAAGCAGGGAGGCTGTAATGATTGACGTACCGATCTGAGTCTCTTGCTTGGGAACTCCAGCCGGATGTACCCAAACAGGCCAATGCCGCTCTGTCTCTACCTGAGCAGGACCGGACAGACGCTCCGTCGGTCCCAAGGCTTGCGGTTTAGCGTGAGAACAACTCCATGAGGTGTTCCCAAGTGGTACACCGTCCCGTGGTCCGTGGTCCGTGGCCCGTGGCCCGCAGCCTCTGACTATGACCCGAGGGAGGAGTTTCGCGCACCCTGTCAATTTGGGCTCAAGATAGATCGACACCTCCCAATTTTAGCCGAGTGTTGTGCAGAGTTATCTCACGGCGAATGGACACTTGAAGATCCGGTCGACTGCTCAGAGTCCATAGACCAGGAGCTCCCTCAATTTCTGGCTACGAGCTGATTCGAGGCGTGACGAATTTTGAGGCCCACGGATCGTCGATGAGTCGGATCGAGCGGCACATGGTTCCGGGACACATGGCTGAGTTTAATAGTTCTTCTGATATCAACAACGAACCAGCAAGGCTCTATCATGACAGAATTGACAAATTGCTCCTTTTGACAATGGTCAGCGACCGTCAGTGTCAAACAGGAAAACTATAAGAAAGGAGTCCATGCCAGTACGACCACCGGTAGTAGACTGACATGCTGGGATGTAATCTCATCCAAACGAACACTGAACTAATTCACGGAGCACAGAGTGAAGAACTTACCCAACTTTCAATTGCTGTTTGAATCCTGGAACTAGACTCCCTCCTTGTGCGTAGTAGCCTGCCTCTTGTAACCTCACCAACCCTGCGTGGGTATCTCTTTCGCCCAATTCTAACACCTCTTCGTGAGTACCGATCTCAATCAAGGTCCCGTTGTGCATGACCCCGATGATAGCCGTTCAAATCACTCTGTCAACGGATGAGATAGAATTTTTACTTTGAATTTGAGTTTTGAAACTCAAATTCAAAGTTAAAATCACATTTCATCTTTGAACTTGAATCTTTGAAACGGCTGAAATTTCTTCAGAAACCATCTCCGTGGCTGTCGGTGCCCTCTCCTCTCCCCCTTGCGTCTCGCGTTGGGGAGACATGATCCCCGATCCCTCTCCGCCTCCGCCCATTTCCGCCCACGAGATCAAAACCCCTCGCTCAGGAATCGTGCGAGATCTCGATGGCGAACGAGCTCTCCTCTAATTACGATTTCTCGTCAACGAATTTGCTGTCACCATTCATATGCACATACAATCAAACTCTCACAAACACATTCTCACACGAGCGAGGCCAAAGACGCCGAATGGTGACAGCAAATTCGTGTAAAACTAACAACACTAGAACACCTGAATGTCCTCAAGTCTTGAAAACAGATCCCGAGGTGGAATGGTGGGGAGTAGTAAGTGGGGATTGGACTTGGCCCCGGACTACTCTCCCGCAAGAATGACGGAAAAGAAAAAAGCTTCAAAGGTTTATATAGTCTTGGCTGGGTAGTCCTTTGTAACTCACATCTCCCCGATATTTGAAATTTGAAATGTTTTGCGCGGAAGTGGCCGATCCTGGATCCCTAGGTTGCTTTTAACACCACTCGATGATACGGTTGGTATTAAAAGCAACCTAGATCGGCGACTTCCGGCAGCGGCTCAGAATGTAACTTTGTCTAACCGTATAGAAATGCAAATCCCATGCGGCTTGTTTCCATCGATAGGGATTGGCGCTGGACTCCGGCAGGAGCGAGTAATATAGCATTGAAGAAGATATTGAATAGGTCTAATAAATGTTGTAGAGCCAGAGTACAAAACAATGGACACATTGTTTAATATTCTCAAAAAGAGAATATAAACCTGTACAAGAATAGTTTAACCCTCCACCTCCTTAGTAATGTGCTTTCCATGTTTATTTTAGATAAAGAGCAATAAATGTAACTTCAAGTTGGAATTTTTAATTATTTCTTCATACTCAATTATTCACTTTTTGAAAATTTACATTTTTTTACATTTACTATCTTTAAATCAAGTTGGTTTCTTTATTTATAATTGGATCGTTAGTTTTTGTTAAAAAAAGAAGAAGAATTCATGTGTGACCGCACACATGTTAAGTCACAAGGGAGCTTGATAAGAATATTTTATACTTTAATTGAAAATATTTGTTCAAAAATTTTTTATAATAATGAACTTAAGCTACTTGATCATATACACTTAATCACATCCAAATTTATTTCATTTTCAAATTTACATAATTTACTTGATCTTTCATAGTAGAGTATTGGAAACCATGATTATTATATGTTTAGCTAATTCATGGCAGTTAGTCTGCTTGAAAACCATTTTTTTTGGTGCAATAAAATATGGGAATCAGTTCTTAAAGTTAGCCAGGGTGACAGTGTGAAGACGAGGAAGAAAGTTATAACTCTTTAATAACAGTATTACTAATAAATCTAATCGTTTAATGAAAGACTTTGTAAATCCATTGATATCATGGGTATGAGGTCGAGGAAGAAAGTTATAACTCCTTAATAACAGTATTACTAATAAATCTAATCGTTTAATGAAAGACTTTGTAAATCCATTGATATCATGGGTATGAGGTCGAGGAAGAAAGTTATAACTCTTTAATAACAGTATTACTAATAAATCTAATCGTTTAATGAAAGACTTTGTAAATCCATTGATATCATGGGTATGAGGTCGAGGAAGAAAGTTATAACTCCTTAATAACAGTATTACTAATAAATCTAATCGTTTAATGAAAGACTTTGTAAATCCATTGATATCATGGGTATGAGGTCGAGGAAGAAAGTTATAACTCCTTAATAACAGTATTACTAATAAATCTAATCGTTTAATGAAAGACTTTGTAAATCCATTGATATCATGGGTATGAGGTCGAGGAAGAAAGTTATAACTCCTTAATAACAGTATTACTAATAAATCTAATCGTTTAATGAAAGACTTTGTAAATCCATTGATATCATGGGTATGAGGTCGAGGAAGAAAGTTATAACTCCTTAATAACAGTATTACTAATAAA